GGGGGGCTGGGCCGGGCCAGCCGCGTGTACCAGGGCCGGCGAGCGGGCGCCGGAAGTGCGACGCCGCGGCCGCATTGTCCGCGCGCCGCCGCCTTCCGTTTGCAGCATCACGTGCGGGTTGTTGCGTGCGCGCTCCCCGTCCCCGCGCACGCGCTCTCTACGCCGAGGCGGGGATGTCTGCGCCTGCGCGCTGCGGTCCGCGCGTCGAGGAATCGCTTCCCCTGGTGGAAAGCGCGTGCGCGCCGGGCTGGGCGCGTGGACGCACCCCGCGGCGGGCCGGCCGTGACCTTGAGCGGGTTGATCAGACTCCAAGGGCTGTGAACACCCCGATCAGGCGTCTTCCCTGTGGGTGTCAGTGTCGGCGGTCCCTTCCGCGAAGGGCCGCCAAGCAGTGCACGTGGGCCAGCGACCCCCGCCCGCAGGTGTCCTGGTGATGCGCTGTCGTGGGCCCTCCCGGTGCATCTGTCATCTGTCATGACCCATAATAGGTCTGTCTCACTCTCTGCGAGTGTTACCCAGAGTAGCGTGTGAACTGGCAACTGTGCTGCCAGTTACAATGCTGGTGTTACAATGCTGCAGAAGCCGCTTGGTTACTGTACCAAGCAGTTTTGACTTAAAAGAATGAGTTTGCCAAGGTAAAGGCCATTAGGGCAGCGCACCAGTGTCCAAAGATGAAATACAACATATTTAAAGATCTCAAGTGGCTTTAGTGCGATTCTAGAATCGGGCAGCAGGTTGCTCCATAAAGTAGGGTCATTTGCATGAATATCCTTGTAAGGTGGGGACTGGGAGGCAGAACTAGGGAGGAATAAGTGATTGTTTAATGTCAGGTTACGTCAGGCTGCCCTGGTTGTGTGGAGATGAAAGCAGAGGGAGCTTCACTGTCTTGCCTATTGGAGATTTAAACTGGCCTGTTTGGGAAATTAGCCGTTACCTGTCTCCTGGTTTCTCAGCAGGTTTGACCACAAGTTAGTTTAGGTTTGGTGACTTCAGCAAGAGGGACTCCAGTTTGGTTTTTAGTCTGGTCTTTTGGGGCTTATGCAGGAACTTGGACAAAAACACTGTCTTCCTATAATTTTTACCTATCACCAGTAATGCCCATGAGGTGGTTTTCTGAGCGCGCACACTCTCTCATTGGCCTGTTTCTGGGTAGGTAGATTTAGGCCCTGTCTGAAGCCCTGTCCGGTCCTCCCAGGTGCAACATGCCAGCAAGCAGATCACGGCCGACAAGCAGTACAAAGGCATTATGGACTGCATCATCCGCATCCCCAAGGAGCAGGGTGTGCTGTCCTTCTGGAGGGGCAACCTGGCCAACGTCATCCGCTACTTCCCCACGCAAGCCCTCAACTTCGCCTTCAAGGATAAGTACAAGCAGATCTTCCTGGGGGGCGTGGACAAGCACACGCAGTTCTGGAGGTATTTTGCTGGCAACCTGGCCTCCGGGGGCGCTGCTGGAGCCACCTCACTCTGCTTCGTCTACCCCCTGGATTTCGCCAGAACCCGTCTGGCAGCCGATGTTGGGAAATCGGGCACAGAGCGGGAGTTCAAAGGCCTGGGAGACTGTCTGGTGAAGATCACCAAGTCTGACGGGATCCGGGGCCTGTACCAGGGCTTCAATGTCTCCGTGCAGGGCATCATCATCTACCGGGCAGCCTACTTTGGCATGTACGACACAGCCAAGGGTAAGTGCCGTCTGCTGAGGCTGCCATAACAAATGGGGGGGGGGGGCTGGAACAACAGAAACGTATTCCCTCTCAGTCCTGGAAGCCGGAAGTCTGAGATTGAGGCATGGCAGGGCTGGTTTCTCCTAAGGCCTCTGTCCTTGGTTTGTAGACACCATCGTTTCCTTGAGTTCTCTTGTGGTCATCACTCTGTGTGTGTCTGTCCTAATCTTCTCTTCTCATAAGGATAGCAGTCTTGCTGGATCAGGGCCCACCCTAATGACATCATTTTAGCGTAGTTACCTTTTTTTTTCTTGACCGGTAAGGGGATTGCAACCCTCAGCATGGTGTGGTCCGCACCACACTCAGCCAGTGAGCACACCGGCCATCCCTATATAGGATCTGAACCCACAGCCTCGGTGCTACCACCACCTCACTCTCCTGAGTGAGCCACGGGGCCGGCCCAAGCGTAGTTACGTTTTTAAAGACTGTGTCTCCAAATGTAGTCACATTCTGAGATCCTGGGGGTTAATTTTCAAACCATGAATGGGATGGAGGGAATACAGTTCAGCCTATAATGTAAGTCTTTGTGAGGTCAGGGCCCAGGCCTGCTAGCATAAAGGGCTGCCATTCTGCAACAGAGTCACTTCAGGTGGCACCTTACACTCTCCTACTCTGGAGGGGCCACTCCAGGTCCTAAGCCCCAGTCTCTGGGACTGTCCTCCACAGTACAGTAGATTGCAGGCGGCTTTCCCCTGTGCTGGCCTTCAGCACTGTGGAGATTCCTGGTGCTGATGTTTGCACGGGCAGCCATGTAGGGGGGTCGCCCTCACCACCTGACGGCTCTGTGTGTACTGGGTGCTAATGCTGGCTGGTGACTCTGCAGGTATGCTCCCTGACCCCAAGAACACGCACATCGTGGTGAGCTGGATGATTGCCCAGACTGTGACGGCCGTGGCTGGTGTGGTCTCCTACCCCTTCGACACCGTGCGGCGGCGGATGATGATGCAGTCCGGGCGCAAAGGAGGTATCCCGTCTCTGAGCTCTGTGCGCGGTGGTTCTCATGCTAGTGGGGGGAGACGCAGGACTCCCTGAGTGGCCTCAGCCTTTAGATGTGGCGCAATCGGATTAAGGCCCTTCCCAAAGGGTTTCAGGCAGCGTGTTGTCAGAGTAACTTGGCTATGTGGAGGAGTAGTCCTTAATCATGGGCTTCTGTTCTTTTTCCGATTTCCAAATTCCTACTTTCCTGAGCATCTGGCCTCATCGACCACTTGACTATGTCCTCAGTCCTGCCCTCCCTGCGTGGACCCAGGGTGGAGTCAGGTACTGCCCAGACTGGAGTCTGACATCCTGCTTGTTGACCGTTCCCTCCTTCTTTCGTAGCTTAGTCGGAGGCCCTGAGCTGGGGCATGTGGTCACCTGAACCTTACTTCATTTGCGCCTGTAACAGAACTCTTATAGTTACCTGGGTGGAGATATCTGGGGTCCAGTTTCTGTTAAACGTTTGGAGTTTGGTGACTCCTGTCCTAAGGAGCTCCCCATCGAGGCCTTAACTCTCTCCCTCATTGCAGCTGACATCATGTACACGGGGACCCTCGATTGTTGGAGAAAGATTTTCAAAGACGAAGGCGGCAAAGCCTTTTTCAAGGGCGCCTGGTCCAACGTCCTCAGAGGCATGGGGGGCGCTTTTGTGCTGGTCCTGTATGACGAGCTGAAGAAAGTCATCTAGGCACGTCCGCCTCCAACAGAAACGGGGACCAAGAGGATCACGTAGGATACTCTACTTAACTGTTACGGACCATTGATCTTCAAAAAATTCCAGTCGTCTCTGTCCTGGTCAGATCATGTCGGTAGAGGGCTGTGGATGGTAGAGGGCTGTGCACGGCTCTAGGAAAGTGGCTCATTGTGATCACGTTCGGCAATTGGTGCTTCAAGTCCATGTGTTGATGACTGGGGGTGGGGAATCATGACGTCATTGTGGGTCCGTGGTGAGGCATCTCTGCCACTCAGGCCTAGAGTGCAGATGCGTGTAGGACCCGGGTTGTGTTTAAGTGTTTATTTAAAACAAGAGTCGCGTCTCCCATTTGTACGTAAGCACGTGCTCCTCTTTTGCACAGCCGATTGTTTGCAGTCATGTTCTCAGTTGGGCATTCTGCTGCAAAACAATAAAAACAGGACACAGAGCCCTGCTTGTGTGGCCATGAGTGTTTGAACAGAGCGGCCCGTGGGGGGTCTGGAGTGTTGCAGAGACAGGGTAGGTGGGAGGCAGAAGGGGTCCGTAAGAGACCATGTCCTGTCCCTGTGGCAGGCCCCCCCACTTTGTGGACTTGCAGTACCACCTCTGCCTAACACCCTGGAGGGTACAGACGGCAATGTGGTCACCGGCTAGGAAGAGGTAGGATTGAAACCAAGGCTGGCAAAGGCCGGAGCATGTGTAGCTCGCTCTGAGAGGCCGCCCTTGGATGGGGAGGATTAGCCCAATCAGTGCTGGAGGCCCGGAGGGGCATCTGAGTTCCCTGCTTTGGAAAGTGTTCATTCCAGGAAATTGGCTGGCTCTTTCTGTCTGAGACCATCCAGCTAAAACGATGCCGTGGACCAGGTGGTTTATACATAATAGGAATTTTACATCTACAGCTCTGGAGGCTGGAAGAATGAGATAAGGGTGTCTGTAAGGTGAGGTGCGGCCAGGAACTACTTTCTGGTTGGCAGAGGGCAGCTTCTCTGTGTCCTCACATGGTGGGAGGGGCAAGGGGGTATCTGGGGTCTCTTTTATAAGGACACTAATCCCGTTCATGAGGCTCCACCCTCATGACCTCACCACCTCCCAGGGGCGCCACCTCCTAACACCATCACCTTGGGGTGCAGGGTTTCATCAGGAGTCTTGGGGACACATTCTATCAGTAGTGTAGTAATGCTGGCTGCTGACACAGGAAGGGACGGGTGTAGGAGGGCCGGCCCTGAGTTCTCCATCTGCTGGTGGCTCCTTGGGGTGGCTCCCCATCCATTCCAGCATGAATACTGCAGTGGAGGTCTCTCCCCAGGAGCCCCGGCAGTGACAGGGAGCAGCCACCTGCCCTGGCCTGCCTTTGCCATGGACTCCGTGGTTGTAGCAAGAAAATAAAACGGGGAGTCTCCCCAGGCTGGGCGTCCCATCTTGGTGCCGTCCATGACGCGGAGTGCGAGGACTGCAGCCCTGGGCACCTGGGACCCTGACGTCCTGGGCTTCCCAGAAATCCTGGCTGCAGAAGGAAGGCAGGATCTTACCTTAGATTTCTGCCGCAATGATTAAAAATTGGGAGGTTAAGTGAGTCCTATCTTGATTGTGTGGCTCCTGCCCACCCACTGCTCACCACACGCCCTGGCTCTGACCCACTCGGGCCCTGGAGTTTGAATTTAGGTTTTCTCCTACCCAGAGCTTTGGTTACTGCTTGATTCAGTCTTGGGGACATATTTTCACTGGTAATTAGAACCTTGTTTAATTGGCAGTTCACTAAATTAAACCTTCCCTACTCGGTCCTGTTGGCCTCAGAGCATTCTGCGAATTGTACTCTTTATGAGACTGAGCAGGGGTAGTTTTCTCAACAGTTGGCATTCGAAGACTGGCAGCTGCAGTTCAGGGTGACTGACCTGTGCGATCTTCACATGTTAATGTAAGCAAGCAAGGGCTGGCCGGTTAGCTCAGTTAGAACGTGGTGCCGATAACACCAAGGTTCAGGGCTCAGTCCCTGTACCGGCCAGCTGCCAAACAAACAAGTAAATGTGAGCAAGCTAAAAAATGGGGGAACTTCATGAGGATATGGGATGCGTAGGGCTGGGGGCAGTGTTTTGAGGAAAACCCTGCTTCTTGGAAACTGAGCATTCCCAAATGACTGTGTCCTCCTAAGTGGGTTTACACTGGGTTGTCTTTGGCTCCCAGGAAGGGCTCAGTGTGTTAGGAATTAAAGCCAATGGGCAGTAAAGCCCACGTCCTCCACCCAGGGGCTGCAGACAGCTGGGCCGATGGGCTCTCCTGTCACTGTCACCGCCTGGCCTCTGCTCCCTCTGCTTCCACCTCCTGCTTGAGGACAAGCCATGTCCTGGCCTGGAACAACTTCCCACCCTACCCCCCACATGCAGCAAATATCTGCACACGCTTTTCCTGATGCTCAGATGCACACACCCAGCAGAGACCCAGATGGGAGGGAGCAAGAGGAAGTGTGAGGGAAGACCCCTACAGGGAGGAGAGACCTTGGGGAGGAGGGTCACGAGTCACCCAGCTCTGGGGTGGGGGTGGGAAGCGGTATCATTCGTCATCATTTTTCAGGGACCATGGAGAGGCAGAGGCGAGGCCAGGTGGGAGCAGAGCTGAGTGAGGATGGGACAAGCTGGGGAGGCAGAGCCAGGAGACCCTGCCAGGCACAGGCAGCCCCTCCTACCTGCAACATGTCTTTGTGGATGGGGGCACACCTGCACTTGCACAGCTTGCGTGGGGACATTAGACCCTTCTGGCTACGTGCATGATTAGGGTGGCTTGCGAAGGGAGGGGTGGGGGGCAGTGCAGCCAGGAGCAGTCATATGATCACACAAACGTATGTGCAGTCCGGGGAGCAAGAAAGAAAAACCAGGCAGGGCCGTTTAATGGAACCAGGAAGGGGCAAATCCAGTTGATGGTAGCAGGAAGTCTTTGGGCAGAGCCAAATTTAGGAGGCTGGAAGCCGGGTCCCGGAGGCCTTGGAGTGACAGGACTGGATCCCACTGGGGCCCAGTGAGTGGGTGGTAAAGCACTTTAGTAAAGAAATGAACACAGCACAGAGGCTTTTTTCTTTCTCAGGGGCAGCTCCTGATTCAGCTGCACTGGGGCCTCCCACCCCCATCTCGTTTTATAAACATTGGTCGGCAGCAACTAGGGCGTGCAGGTGCCCGGCCAGGAGGTCCCGGAGGACCAGGCAGCGCGAGCAGCCCGGAGCTTGGGCTTCACGTTTCCTCCACAACCAGCACCTCGGCTACTGGACAGTCCTCCCGGTCTGCTCTGCCAGCCACCCAGGCCATCTGTGGGGGCAGGGGTGTCAGGGTGTCGGTGAGGGATGAGAGAGCCCCTATGTTCTCTAAAGCCTCAGGGACCTGTCCAGTCCAGAATCAGGTTGGCCCTGGGGCTCCTGGCCCACCCGCTGGGGGAGCAGGGCACAGGTGACCCCCTGAAGTCACAGGCTGGGACCCTCGCTCCTCCAATGCCCTTCTCCCACAGCCTTCCCCGGCCACTGCCAGCACCTGCGGACACTCTCTGGGTCAGGCTGTGGCCACCCTGTGTCCCCAGAAGCATCAATGGCAGAAAACACAACGTACCATCTTATCATTCTGAAACTTGTCACTGATGGGGTCTTTCAACCGAGGGATGGGAGGGAAGATTTTCTGCATCACGGAGTACCTGGGAGGAAAGAGAAATCCACATGTTCTGAGTCCAGCACCAAGCAGCTTATAGTCAGATGCAAAATGTCCACTAAAGGGCCACAGCAACACCAAGATGGAGGGGAAGACTCGAACCTCCTTCTCCAGGGCCTCTTCTGTTTCCCTGGCCCTAAGGCCCAGGCACACCCTGACTGAGTAATCAAGCATCTTGGGAGTCTTAGCAGGAGTGGGGTACTGACATCTAAGTAGCAGAACACTGGCACCGAGAGGGCCGGTACCCCAGAAGACAGGAGCTACCCTGTGCCTCCTGCATGTAGAATCTGTGTACATATACATACGTGTGTGTTTAACACCCCGAGTTTGGTCCATCTGGGCTCTAACTTCGGTCCCCTCGCTTCCTCCCAACCAGAGATCACGGCCCTCCACCCCTGACTGTCTCGGGCCTGCTGGGGGTCAGGGAGGTGGGTGGTCCCCTATGTCCTCTCCCTGGGCACACCCAGAAGCAGCTGCACCTCCATGGAGGGTCCTGACAGCCACCTCTTCCACCCTGTCCAGCAGTACACCCATGCCCCCAGTTCACAGCTCTTAGCTTCTGGTGCTGCAAGGGTGGCTCAGGCATGGATCCCCTGGGATTAGAAGTCAGAACGCTGTGTCTGTGCCTGTCCCATCCTGCAGCCCAGGGGAGAGTGCTGAGCAGCTCTCCGGTCATCTGTGCCCCACCCGACACCCTGACCTGGGCCAGGGCCCCTTCTAAGGAGCCAGGCAGCCGCCATGGGCCAGTCTCCAAGCTTCCCCATGAAGCAGGCTGTCCTCTACCTCGGACACATGGCGCTTCAGGGCAGCTCAGCCTGAAGGCGCTTGGAGGGATTGGGGTGAAGCTAGGAGAGAGACGATGGGTGGAACCAGAGCCCAGGTCTGGGCAGAGGGCGAGTGCCAAGAGAGAGACCCCAAGAGCTGGCCCATGTCAGCCTTGCCCACCAGGGGCTGAGCCCTGAGAGGTTTGGACGGGGCCATGTAGTGGGTGGAGGGAGTTGTGGATCCAGTGGGGACATGGTGATGGCACTGTCCACTGTCCAGTGCAAGGAGGGGTTCCAGAGCCACATCTTGAAAAACCCAAAGCGCTGGGACAGTTTTGTGGTGGTGAGGAAGAAGAAACTGGCCTAGAGACTGGGAGCAACCAGCAGGGATCAAGCAGGCCAGCGTGGCCCAAGCTGGGCCTCCAGGGAGGAGGGTCCTGGGGCTCGATGGATCGTGGACGCTGCGTGGGGGACCTGGCCTCCAGGGACCAGATTGCCCTAATCGGGGTCATGTTTGAGAAACACAGTCAGCTGCGCCACCTGGCTGCAAAGACATGGCCACGCGTCGGGGCAGAGGGGGACAAGCGTCCGGCCGCGTGGGGTGCTTCGGCCGGGGGCATGGGCTGTGCGTTCTCAGGACCGCATGGGGTGCTGCAGGGACAGCCACCCGAACACGCCGGCACGGCGCTCACCGTTTGCAGAGGAAGGCGGCACAGAGCAGAGCCAGCAGCGTTCCCAGCGCGACGAGCAGAGACGTCCGCCAGCCTCGCGTGTGCGCGTCCTCTTCGTGGTCGCACACTGAGGGGAGAGGGATGGGGGCCGTCACGGTGAGACACCCCAGGAACACCACCTGCACGGGGACAGCGGCCACCTGCGTGCCGTGACCGACCGGGACGTTCCTCGTAGGCGAGTGCCTGAAGTCCGAGGCCCCCTCCACCACCGCACAAGTGAAGGGCACGTGTGGCAGGGGAGGAGTGACGGTAGCTCCAGCCACCCAGGGGCGCGGGGCCACCCGGAAGCCTGGGGCTTGGAATGTGCTCAGCAACTTGGCATGCACTTGTGGGTGCGGCCAGCAGCAGGCCTTGGAAAGGACCAGACCAGGACCACGACCTCGGGCTGCCTCCCCCTCTGCGCAGCAGCCCTGTGCTCAGCGGCCCAGGCCTTGGGCTGCGCATTGTGTTCATCATGAATTTTTTGCATTAATTTTGATTTTTAAGAACTGCATTAAAAGATTTATCTTGATGACAGATTTTTGGTGTTAAGCCCCACGGGATGGCGTGGGCAGAGGACGCAGAGCCGAGCCGCCCAGAGAGGAGAACCGGGGACAGAATGAGTCCAGCAGGTGAACGCAGCTCAGAAGGAGCAGAGGCCAGAGCGAGGGCACCAGCAGCAGAAGGGACCTCCGCCCGGGTCCCTGGAGACAGAAAACGCACAGGGCATCGGAAGGTGTCTGCAGCCCCCCGGCGAGACCAGCCCTGTCGCCAGGAAGCCTGGGAGATGGTCCGGACAGATGGCGGAGGTGGGGCGAGGGGATTTCAGCCACAGCCTCGCATCACCACCCACCCCTGGCCCAGAACGCCCCAGGCCCACCAGACTTCAGGGGGAAACCCAAAAAGTACATTGCAAGGCCTTTGCTGTGGAGTGAGTCTACCTGGACAACGTTCTCCTACCTGCACCTGGGGGCCTTTCTCAGCAATCTCTCTCTCTAGGCTCTGCAGGTAATGGATTTGGGTTTCCGGCGCTGCAACCAGTCCTGAGGAAATCATGAGCCCGACTGACTTCTAGGGTACGACTATGACCATGGGTCGTGCACCTGGCAGGTGACCCATGCGTGGCTCAGGGGACACCTGCCTGCGCAGGGAGCTGCTGAGACTGGAAGCCTCAGAGGCCTGGGAATAGCCCCAGCGGGTCTCCTGCGAATTTCAGCGTCCTAGTCTATGTTCCTGGTGACCGCACATCCTGGCTGCCCTGGGGCTCCCATGGAAGTAGGGGTGAGCTCCAGTGGGTGTGAACTGCTCCATACACCTGCCATCAAAAGCCACCTCTATTTCTCCTACCCACCTGACTTCTCCCCTGGGCTCTTCCTTTCATGTCCTCTCGGCCATAGGCCACCCCCGTGTACAGAACTCTGTGTTTGCAGACGCGCTCACGATGTGCTTAAGATGCCCTCACAGACAAAAGGGGACCTGAGGGTCACACTGTAAGATGACCGCAGGGCCAGGGTCAGGATAAGGCGTACCTGAGCACTGTTAGGAGAATTGGGGGCAGGGGGCTGTATCTCTGCAGCTGGTTCTGGAGAACAGGGGATGGAAATGCTATAATAGCACTGAGCCAGCCTAGCATTTTGCAGGTCATCTCACCTGAGACCCTTGGGGTAGGTAGTAACACTGTCCCCTCCATAGCTGTAAGCTCAGGGTCAGACGTGTACAGCATCCTGCCCAGGGTCCCCTCACCTGAGCCCAGCCCCTGACGTCTGATGCTCTGAGTACTTTCGTTGGAATTTTTTATGAGTATGTTAGCTAGTCTTCATTTGTCACATCCCAGGGTTACTTTGGGGAGTTATCATGGGCTGAATTATGTCCCCCAAGTTCACAGGTTGAAAGCCTAAGCCCTAGTCCCTCAAAATGTGACTATTTGTGGAGATTGGGTCTTTCAAGAGGTGATTAAGGTAAAATGAGGTCACTAGGGTGGGCCCTGATCCAATAGGACTGGTGGCCTTATAAGAAGAGGAGATTAGGACACAGACATGCACAGAGAGGGACGACCATGTGAGGACACAGGGAGAAGATGACGTCTGCAAGCCAAGGAGAGAGGGCTCAGGAAGAACCAGCCCTGACACGCCTTGATCTCAGACTTCCAGCCTCCAGGCCTGTGAGAGATTAATGTAGTCATCTGTCACAGCAGTCCCAGGACAGTCATTCACATGCCCTCTCCAGAGAGCCAGGGCCTGGACCACTGAGGTCTCCTCCTGTACCGCCTCCTGACCAAGTACCTTCTTTGGATCCTGAGAGGAAAGACTCGGTGACCTGGCTTTAGAACAGCTCAGAGACATGGCAGCTGTTATTTTGGAGGATCCTCTCCTTCATCAGGCTGGAGAGCCCATCACTGGGGCCATTTTGCATAGAAGACAATGACCCATTGTCTGCCAACAGTTTTGTTCTTACGAGGCCCAGGGGACTTTTAGTGGGACAGTCTTGCTCCCCCCCCACCCTCCCACCGCCTGAGAGCAGGGTGCGGGGTCACTGTTGGGCTCACAGTCCTTTTGGGGAACTGCAGTGGGTCAAGTGTGTCCCCCAAGTTCATGTGTTGGAACGTGATTCCCATCGTAACAGTGTTAAGAGGATGGGAAATCGAGGTACGGTACTCAAAGGTGGACCTCTGAGAGGTGATTGGATTGTGAGGACTGTGCCCTTGTGAGTGGACTGATGCACGCATGGAGTCATGGGCGTGAGTGCGACGGCTTTACCAGGAGGGCAAGTGAGCAGGTCAGCTCTCTCCTGCTCAGCCCGTTCTCACCATGGCACACCCTGCATCACTGCAGAGTCACCACCAAAGAAGGCCCTCAGCAGATGTGTTCTCTGGACTGTGGACTTCCCAGTCCCCCAAACTGTAAGAAATAAACGTCATTCTGTTATAAGCAACAGAAACGGACTAATAAAGGGATGCAGAAACATGCGGAGTGACGTCCCCCTCCCCCCTGCCACCTTCGGCAGTGGGACACCAGGGAGAAGCAGGGGAAAGCTGATGACCCCAGGCTGCACTAGAGGGTCTGTGTTTTGGGGATGGGGGCGGTGCCCCTGGATTCCACACATGCTTGAGGGAGCCAGAAAGGGCCGCACTCACCAAAGCGCTGGGGAGCGCTCCATCTGCTCGGGAGCCTGATAAAGTATTCCTGGACTCTTATTTTCACTGTGTAGGTTCCAGGATTGTGTAGCTCAAAGGAATTTTTGTCTTGGATCTGTGGTTTAAGAGAAAGCAATGAAAAAAAGGTCATTCCCTATGGGTGGGAAAAGGAGAATGGGGCCCTGTGATGTCCTAAATTGTGCCCCCGCAATGTATATGTTGGAGTCCTAGCCCCCAGGACCTCAGACTGGGGCCTTAATTGGAAATAGGACGGTTGCAGGTGTAATCAGTTAAGCCGCAGTGAGGTCATGCTGGAGTAGGGTGGCTCTTAATCCAGTATGCCTGGTGTCCTCATTAAGAGGGGAAATTGGACACAGATGTGCACACAGAGAGACACTGCACAGAGATCGAAGGAAGCTACCACAGCCAGGGACCCACAAGGAGCTGCAGAGGTCCTGAGACTGATCCTCCCCTCCAGCCTGGGGCGGGAGTGTGGCCCCCACACACCCTTCCAGCCTCCAGAGCCAGGGGACAATGAATTTCTGGTATTTAAACTACATGGTTTATTGTAGTTGGTGTGGCAGCACCAGGACACTGATTGGTACCTCCAGAGAGAGCCCAAGCCAGACCCCAGAGGAAGAGCACATGTGCTCGGCAGAGCATGTCCCCAGGGCCCCTTTCCTGCCTCAGCCCATGCGCTCGGTGGCCAAGCAATAAATGCTTGCCTTAAAACAACTAGAAGGTGAAGACTCCATGGCCAGCTCCAGTGTGGTGCTATCTGGGGGTGTCATGCGGTGAAGAAGCCCTACAAAGAGTTGAATAGGGTCTCCCACAAAAGATATGTCCCCAAACCTGCAAATCGGTCCTTATTTGGAAATAGGGTATTTGCATATGTAATTAGTGAAGGACCTTGAGATGGAACCATCCTGGATTAGGGTGGCCCTAAATCCAATGACAAGGGTCCTTATTAGAGACAGAAGAGCAGACACAGAGGAGAAGCCACGTGAAGATAGAGGCAGAGACTGGAGTGATGCGGCCACAAGCCCAGGGATACCTGGAGCCACCAGGAGCTGGAAGAGGCAGGAAGGATCCTCCCCTGGAGCCTCTGGAGGGAACTAGACACAAATGTGTGGATTGAATGATTGTCCCCAGAAAAGATAAGTCCACATCCCGATGTCCAGAACCTGAGAATGGGACCTTATTTGGAAACAGGACCAGGCCTGTGTGACCAGCTCCTGGGCCCAAGCATGGATACATGCCCATTTCTACATCCTCTGTGTGACTCAATGTCTGTGTGGCAGAATGTCCTGCATGGAGGGCGGCCCACAGGGCACTTAGAGCTCTAAGTCCCTTTGGTGGGTACAGCTGGGATGCTGTTGACCCTATCATGGTCTGCGATGAATTGAGCTCTAGGGGTGCAGCTTTGGTAGGGACCTGCAGATTCCAAAGGTAACAGGGGAAGGGTCACTGAGTGGCTCCCTCCCGAGCTGTCCCCTCCTCTCTGTGCTGCTGCCACTAACAGATTTAGGAGATGGGGGAAGAGACGGAGACAGAGAGAGAGTTGGAGAGACGGAGAGACAGAGACAGAGGGAGAGACAGGGAGAAATGGAGACAGACAGAAAAAGTGATAAACAGAAAGAGGGAGAGAGAGACAGAGTGGGCGTGCCTTAGTCTATCTTTTATTCCTCCTGATGCCACAGCAGGGACTGGTGGGTGATTCACTGGTGGCAGGTGGGGGATGCTCATCTAACGCCTGTGTCACCTACATGTGAACTTCTGCCTCTGCTGGGTAGAGAAACGGCTTGGCGACTTGCTCTCTCCGAATTCCGGGAGCCTGGCACAGGCTACGGAGTTTGGAGGCACGTGGGTCGCCCTTGTTCAGGCAGTGCCGGGCAAGCCCTGGTGTCTGGTGCTCTCTCCTTGGAGGCATCATCTCTGAGTCTCCATTTCCTCGTCCCTCGGTGTGGGATGAAAACCCTGATGTTGCAAGATCGTGGGGAGAGTGAGTGAGGCCTACATGTGGAGTCTGTCAAACAGGACTTAATAATAATGAACTCACCATTTGCAATGCCAAGTTAGGGGGTCAGATAGGGGAGACTCACCTGTTCCGTGAAGACGTGCCTGGTGCTCTGCAAAGCAAAAGCAAACAAGTTTGTGAGTGCCTGGACCCTCCCCTGAGAAAGCATGCTCCCCTCTCCCCAGTGACAAACTCCCTGAATTTCTCTGCAAGGGGCAGGGAAACCATGAGAGGTTTGGGGGACTGTGGGCAGCAGTAACGTGCCAAACCATGAGCTTTGGGACCAGTAGTGTCAAGAAATGGCTTCACGTGGGTGCCTGCAGTGAGGTCCTGATGGTGGTGATGGCAGGGGGCCTTTGTGGGGACTTGTTGACCACCAAGACCCTCTGTCTTCCCAGGATGCTTTGTATAAACCTGTGGGGATCCACAGGCAACTTATGCTGGGCCCACGGGGTGGGTGGGTGACTGTGCACCGCGCTGCACAAGACCTGATGCGGGGCTAGGACTCCACCTGTGCCTGCAGCCCTGCCTGCCCCTCAAGTCAGTGAAAGGGGAAAAAAAGTTTCTGCTGTATTCATCCAAACACAAAAACAAAACCCAGTATAAAATACTAATTAGCTCAAAAATACTTGATCATTTCAAAGAAATTAACAGACCTTATTTTTTTGAGCAGATTTAGGCATACAGAAAAATTGAGTACAAATAGTATTGAAGTAAAAATAATAAATAAATATAACACATAAATAAATAAGAATAATAAATAATTATGAGTAAATAATTAAGTTAAAATAATCAGTTGTTGGGTGTAATTAATAAATAAAAAAGACCGGCAGCAAATAATAAGCTTAAGTTAATAAAAATCAAAGTTAGTAAAAATGATTTTAGAAAGATACATGAATAAAAGTAAATAAAATGCCCATTAGCTCAAAAATACAGGGTAAAATTTTTTTTTTTCTTTTTTTCCTTTTGAAAGATGACTGGTAAGGGGATCTTAACCCTTGACTTGGTGTTGTCAGCACCACGCTCTCCCAGTGAGCCACGGGCCGGCCCGCCTGGTAACTTTTACAGTAGCTTTACTCAGGTATAATTTGCACTGAGGACTGCACACTTGAAGTGTATGGCTGGGGAGCTTTGACACATGAAAACTCAAGATAAGGAACGTTTCTGTCACCCCACAGTTTCCTTGCGCCCCTCCCAAGGCCTTCCCACCTGCGTCCCCTGCCCCGGGCAACCACAAATCTAATTCCTGTTACTCGAGATTGTGTGTATTTTCTCTGCTTTTATTTAAGTGGGATCGTCCGGTGTGGACTGAATGTATGTGGCTGATTCTCATTACTGAGTAGGATCCCGTTGTGCGGGTACGTTCCGTTGATCCCTTGGCCTGTGGATGGCCACGTGGGTTCTTTCCGGTTTGGGACTACTGTGAACATAGCTGCCGCGCACATTCCTCTACTCATCTTTGGTGAGTTTAGGTTTTCAGTTCTCTTGGGTTGATACTTAGCAGAGAAATCCCTGTCTTTGTGAGATCCTGCCAAAGAGTTTTCCGAAGCGATTGCCCCATGTTAGATTCCTGCCAGCAGCGTAGGAGAGTTCCAGTTCCTTCACATCCCTGCTAACACTTGGCTGGCGTTTTTCATTTCAGCCAACCTCATGAGTGTGAGTTGGCATCTCCTGTGGTCTTAATTTGCATTTCTTGCCTATTGTGAATGGTGCTCCGATGGACATGGGAGCGCAGCTGTCTTTTCGGTGTATGGATTTCATTTCCTTGGGGCATATACCCAGTGGTGGGATAGCTGGGTCATAAGTAGATCTATTTTTAGTTTTCTGAGGAACCTCAATCCTGTTTTCCACAGTGGCTGTAGCAGATTACACTCCCAGCAACAATGCAACAGCTCCTTTTCTCTGCTCCTCACCAGCATTTGTTATTTTCTGTCCTGTTGATAACGTAGCCAGTCTAACTGGGGTGAGACGATATCTTGTGCTATTCACAGTAACCAAGACATGGAATCACCCTAAATGCCCATCAGTGAGTGAATAGATAAAAAAAAAACACTGTGATACATCCACACAATGGAACACTACTCAGCTACTTTAAAAAATGACATCCTATCGTTTGCAGCAACGTGGATGGAACTGGAAACCAACACGTTAAATGAAGTGAGTCAGGCGCAGAAAGACACGTGCTGCATGGTCTCACTTACATGTGGAACCGAAAAACAAAACAAAAAGTGGTTCTCTTAGAAATAGAGTAGAATAATGGTTACCAGAGGCTGGGAGGGGAGGCCGTGGTGGGGAGGAGGGTGGATTGACGGACACGAGACCATGCCGTCCACCCCAAGTGCATCACCGCGCAGTTGCATGCATTGAAACAACACACTGCACCCCACAAATGTGTACAACTGAATGTTAAAATGTCTTGAATAAAAAAAAATAATAATAGTTTGCACTCTCTGATGATTAATGATGTTGAGCATCTTTTTGCGTGTGTGTTGGCCGTTCATCTATCCTCATTGGGGAACTGTCCGTTTACACCATCTGCCCATTTTTAATGGGGTTTTTGTTGTCTCGTTACTGACCTATAGGAATCCTTTACCTGTCCTGAATCCTTTACCTGTCCTTTACACATATGGACACATATGTGTACTTTGAGTATTTTCTTCCATTCTGCGTCTCAGCTGTTCATCTTCTGAACAGTGTCTGTCCAACAGCCAACATGTTTAGTTTTGCTAAAGCCCACTCGATCGAACTTGTTAAAAAGGGCTCAGAGTTTTCGTGTCCTGAGGAGACTCTGTGTATTCCATCTGCCCTGGAGTGCAGCTTGCAGGACAGAAATGCCCGCAAGGGTGACAGTTTACCTTTTCTATTTGAAGTTCATAGAGGAACTTGCGGTTGAAATGGCTTCTCATCTCCCACTCCATGAAAGAATGTGTTTTATTACACTCTGCAGTGACGTTGGGTGGACTTAATCTCTCTGGGGGGAAAAAAAACACTTTATGAGTCAAACTAATCAAAACCTATTTTTCCCTTATGATGCTTTAAAATCTGCCTCCTACAAGATAAGTAAACAGATGTGATGTTGATGGAGGGTGGGGGGAAGGAGGAATCGGTCAAGGGACACGAAAATCAACGACATTGTATATTGATAAACTAACATAAAAGATAAATATAAAAAATAATAATAAAATTACAAACTTCAAAGAGAAAAAGAAAAAGTACAGTAAAAATAAGATACTATCAAACATAATCTGCGTCCTACAGATGCGGGGGTGGCAGGGAGAGAGGAGACAGGGACGCCCCTGAGGGTCGGAGAACGGGCAGAGGGACGGACGGACGCGCGTGGACGGGTGTGCGGGCGGCCTTGGGACTAGGTCTTCAGGCGTCAGCACCGTGGGCGAGCCCTGGCCCCAAGAGACCGTTCGCAGGCGCCTTCCCAGTACCCTGCACCTGCCCCAGCAGGACGTCCCCTCTTTTCCACTTCAGCTAATGCCAGTGCAGCGACTCCTCCTTTCTCAGGCTCAGGAGTGCACAGACTCCCTTCCCTGCCCAGCTCCTCTCCTGCCGCAGCCCCCCGGCTTGGCCCACTTCCCAGCCCCTGCCCAGGGCCTGTCCTGCCTCGCCCTGGATAGCCCAACGGAGACTATCAGCCCAGGCCCCTGCCTGCTCACCTCTCTGCAGGGACGTGCTGGGCTGGCTCCGACCGGGACCCGAGGCTGCCTCAGTTTCCCCAGGGAGCACGTCAGTTCCACACTTGCCGGTTCGACCGCGTGCAGGAGCCCAGGCCGCGGCTCCAGCTGTCCGCCCGGCATGTCCCCTGGGCCTGGCACAGCCCCCTGGCAGGAGCAGCATATCCGGTCCTCTCTCCCCCTGTGCTCCCTGCCCCCGCCCCGTCCTCCCTACTCCCCTTCTTGTTTCCATCCATGGCACCATGTTTGGGACATTTCCTCAGGCACTGGCAGGAGACAGGGAAGGGGGAAGGAGAGGCAGGGAGCCCACAGGCCAGCTGGGCTCAGTCCTTCTGGGGAACAACACAGAGCTCGCTGGCCCAGAGGACCCCAGCCCAGGGCCAGGCAGCCGCGCCTCCACCAGCCCCTTCCAGCTCTGGCCAGAGGAGGACGGCTCCAGCGAGCGCACAGGCCCAGCCTGCCACCGGTCACCTTCAACACCCTCCAGCAGAGGAGTGCATGTGGCCCCTGGAGGCCTGGGGTCCTGTGCACGGGGAACAGTGAAGGCCAGGACAAGTGGGGGCACCTTCCTAAAGAGCAGTACAGGGAGGTGGATGGTGACCCCAGAACACGCATCCACCAGAGACCTGTGTATGCAGAATTATTTGGAAAAAGGGTCTTTGTAGATGTAATTAAGTGAAAGATCTCAAGATGACACCACCCTGGATCAGGATGGGTCCTAAATCCAATGACAGAAGAGGAGACGCAGCCTCAGAGGAGAAGCCACATGAAGACAGAGGCAGAGACTGGAGTGACGCGGCCACAAGCCCAGGGACGCCTGGAGCCACCAGGAGCTGGAAGAGGCAGGAAGGATCCTCTCCTAGAGCCTTCGGAAGGAACTGGTTACAATTGTAGTGGATTGAACAGTGGCCCCCAAAGATGTGTTCACATCCTAACCCCCAGTACCTGTGAATGGGACCTTTGTGGAAACAGGGTCTTTGCAGAAGTAATTAAGTTAAACCTCTCTTGAGAGGAGATCATCTGGATTTAGGGTGGCCCTAAACCCAATGACAGGTGTCCTTATAAGAGACAGAAGAGGAGAAGCCACGTGAAGACGGGGCAAAGACTGGAGCCTTAGCTCAGGGGTGGGGCATCTTGCACCTCCCTGGATGGGCTCTCAGATACCCATGTTTTCGTCCCCCACCCCTCAGTGACCAATGTCACCTCCCACGCCTGCTGGGATCTGGGGAATGGAGGGAAGGAAGGGTTGGAGTTGCACTCACGTACTGAGTCTCATGTGGGGCCCAGGCACCTGTGAGGGTCCCCCTGTGTCTGAGTGAGTGCGGCATGAAATAGCAAATAAACAACAGCATGATGGTGGCAGGAGAGAGAGACAGAGACAGAGAGAGACAGAGAGACAGACAGAGAGAGACACAGGGAGAGACAGAGAGAGAGACAGAGACAGAGAGACAGAGAGAGACAGAGAGAGCGCGAGCGGGCACAGAAGAAAGGAGCGGCTTTTCCCTGCCTTTTGAACGAGAGGCTCTGTGTCTCCCTTTCGTGCTGGCCTTTCAGTCTGTGGCTCGCGCTCTGCTTATGACATGTGACCAACCACGGCTGGCCCAGGTTTTCTGGTGCTTGAAATGTTTTGGGGGAGGGGAGTCTGGTTTAAGGGAAAGAATACTGACATAGCTTTGCTAGGATGGTGCTATAGCCTAGATGCTTGCGTCCCCCAAAATTCATGTGTTAAAATCCTCATCCCCAAAGCTATGGTGTTAGGAGGCGGGGACTTTGGGAGGTGATGAGGTGTTCCTGCCAGATTCATACGTTATATACCCCCAGTGGGATGGTATAGGAGGTGGGGCCTATGGAGGAGAATAAGGTTTAGATGAGGTCAGGAGGGAGAATCCCCCATGATGGGATTTGTGACCTTATAATAAGAGACGGCGGAGCCGCTGCTTCTGTCTGTCTGTCTCTCTGCAAGGTGGGAAGTGGGCTCTCCCCAGGGACCTAACCTGCCACGCCTCGATCTTGAAATTCCAGCCTCCAGAACTATGAAAAATAGACGTCTGTCATTAAGCCACCCAAGCTGCAGCCCGAGCTAAGACAGCAGCAGCCCAAAGCTGAGGGAGCTAGTGTGAAGGGAACGTCCTGAGTCCTTCCTTACCAATGTATGATAAGTCTTCAAAGATGTCCATGCAAGGGACGCTGCAGCTTTTGCTGGTTCCATTAACCAGAATTAGGAATTGGTGGGGATATTTGGATATTCTCGAGATGTCATCAAAATGACACCCAATATGTGTTCCTTGGTCATCCTTTTTGTAGTGTGGACACGGGTACTCTTTCTGGGTCCTGTGGCAGGGAGAGAAGGTTCCAGAATGAGCCAGTGACTCCCCACGCCCAGGACAGCCGTGCCGTGCCCGAGGCCACACTTACGATGTGTTCTTCAAGTAGAGGTGGTACTGGACGTCGCTGGGGGCTGCCCTGCCCAGCGCCCAACTGCAGGTCAGGAAGTCCACGTCATGAACCCAACAGGTCAGGTTTTCGGCGGCTGCCTCAGGTTTCCCATCTGGGCTTTCAAAGAAGACAAAAGAAAAACGCACCACGTTTGAGAGTAACCTTGCTATTTTGAGATCACTGTGGATTCACATGCAATGGTAAGAAATAATATAGAGAGATCCTATGTGCCCTTTACCCGCTTTCTCCCAGTGGTAACATCTTGAAAAACTACAGGATGACAGTCAAACCAGGATATTGATAAAGACACACTCAAAAGGATCCCCCCTGTTTCCCTTTTACAGACACACCCACCTCCCTCTGCCCCCACCCCAGCTTAACCCCTGTCATCCATAAATCTGCATTCCATTTCTACAATTTTGCTATTTGGAGAAGGTCCTATAAATGAAATCACACTGTATGTCACCCTCTGGGCACAAGTCCCTGGAGATCCATCCAAGTTAAAAGTAATTATTTTAAAGAAAACTGACTGCAGATTATAAAACAAAGACAGTGAGTATTTTTCCTAACCTTGCTTAGGGAACAGAATCCACGCTGAGAATGGCGGGTTAGTGATGCTGACAGTGTAGTTTGTCACATTGCATGTGGAAAGTACACCATAGTGGCAATACTGGTTGTTTGTTGCCTAAGAAACATGTAAGAATATGGCAATTGTTTAGAGAACATACTTAGTCTCATATTAATAATATTTAGTTTTATTTTGTTTTTAGACGTAGAAAAACTTGTCTAGAAATAATTCCATTTAAAAATAAACTGAGCCAGTTTGCTCAGTTGTTTAGAGTGTGATGTTGTAACACTTAAGTTCAAGGGTTCGGATCCCCATACTGGCCAGCTGCAAAACAAGCAAATAATAAATAAATAAAAATTATAAATATAGAGAAATGTTACTTTCCTAAGGATAGAATGAGAGAAGAAATTGTAATGGAAAAGACAGAAAGGTAATAAAAATAGAAACTTAGGGGAACCAAAAATGAAAGGAAAACAACATAATCAAAAATACTCATCAAAATCATGATATATTCAATCTCAGTACCTGCACTGTGTAGTAACTTAATAAAATACAGATCAAGACTTTTGGGATTAATAGGCCAAAGTCTTAATTCATTAACCAAGTCTGCAAAAGATTGAGCCAGACTAGTTGTTAAACACATATTAAAACAATGCACACGAAGCTCTGGGAAAATGTGCATAATTGTGCTTTTTGGTGCTGATATAATATTTTCTTAGATAATTCATCTTGAGTCAAAAATGTATTCACTATCTTTTGTCCCAGAAATCCAACTTCTACAAATTAATCTAAAAGAAAGTTTAGAACGACTGACTGTGGTATAGAAAGTGTTACCCCAACCTCTGCGGAGCAGTGTCACCAGGTCCCAGCTGTCAGTCCAAGGATGGTGACCTTCATCTGTGGACATCGTGTGGAAACAAGGGAAGGAAGAGGCCCAATCATGAAGCAGGGGAACCAGGCTCAGTTGAGGGCAAAGGAACCAAACAAAAAAGTTAGGGGACAGAGTGCGTGTCTGCATCCTGGAATCTGAGCCCTGTGCTCGTTCTGCTCTGAGAATCCTAATAGCAGAGGGTTCTCTGTTCAGGAGACTTGAAGTGTCTTTCCTGAAGACCTGATCAGCCTGGAAGAAAACTCCTAAATATTCTGCCATCAGGATTTCTTTCATAATTACTCATTTAGACCCTCAAAGACTGAAGTTCTCAGACCCCAAACACTTCTCGTACAAAACTTCTGGCGAGATTTTAGGCCCCACTTACACGTGACCAGACAGTGAAACGTTATCAGACTTCTAGGAATAGCCTCTAACAATGTGAGAGAGACAAAAAAAAAAAAAAAAAAAAAAAATGAATGGAAGGGGCTGGCCAGTTAGCTCCTTTGGGAGAGTGTGGTGCTGGTAACACCAGAGTCATGGGTTCAGATCCGCCAAAAACAAAACAACACAAAACAAAACAAGAATGAAAGCAAAATCAGAAGGAAGGAACTAGAAATTAGGCATTGAGAGAAAAAAGCTTTAAAAAGTCACCACTAATATCCTGAGAGCAAAAAAAAGAGACACTTCAACTCTGAAACAGGAACAGAATAATATTGAAATATTGAAAAGGAACACGGGAAGAGCACACACACAGAAAGGAGCTTGTAGAACTTACAGGAATGATCTGAAGTTAAACATGCAAGCAGAAAGATTTAAACATAAGTTTGGGTGAATCTATAGGAAATTAGAGCAAATAGACAAATATCAAAAGGTAGGAAAAGCATAAGGTAAGAAAGTTATAGGACCAGTCCACACAGTTCAATACCAGAGTGACAGTACAGGGAGGGAGGGACGGAAAGGACAAAAAAAAAGAGATTGGCTAGAACACAACCTTATAACATCAAGGCCATGGGTTCAGATCCCTATACTGTCCCCTTCCCCCAGCAAAAAAGAAAGAGAGACTGAGAAAGAGAGAGAGAGAGAGAATTCTTCACATTCAAAGAAAAAAAAATCTAATGGCTTTGGGCTTCTCAACACCAACACCGATACCCAAAAGACAGTGAAGCAATGACTTAAAACTTCTGGGGAAACGATAATGTCTCCCTTAGAATTCTATACCTAGCCAAACTACCGATCAAAGGTCAAAGCAGAATATTGACATCTTCAGACCCTCACACTTTAAAAAGATTTACTTCCCATGCCCCCTTTCTCAGCAAGGCTCTCGAGGATGTGCTCCACCAAAAAGCAGGGTGTAAACCAAGAAAGAAGAAGGAATGGATCCTGAAAAGGAGAGATTGTACGTAAGAGAGAAGCAGAGGAGATATCCTCGTTGATAGTGTGGGGAGATCCCAGAATGACAGCCTCACACGAGGAGTGAAGGACACCAGTCCAAGTTCGAGCAATCAGAAGGTTTGACGGCAGACCTTCCACGAAGTCTTACTGTTTTGAGAGGATATTGAACTGAGTTGAAGGAGGAAACATTCCACCCAGAGTTTCATGTTGAGTCAGGGGTAGATAAATGAAAAACTTGGCAAACAGGTAAACAAACTTAACAATAACACAATTATTAGATTTAGGAAAAACAAATATTTCTGCAAGAAAAATAATCATTGTTAATAACATCGCTTAGTTGTGAAGAGTGTTCTTAACAGTTATAATAAACTGAATATTTGTTGAGAGAGAAAGAGACAGAGGAAACGGAGGATGAGAAATATATGGAGTCTGAGCTGAAGGAGGGAACAGAGTTCAATTACCATCTTCCTTAGGGGAAAATCAACACATTTTGCATAAATAATCAAGAATTTATTGTCCCAACATATGATTTACGGACAAAGAGATATACAACAGAATCAGGTTTAAAAAAAGGTGAAAGGATGTTTCTGGGGACAGATGAGAGTGGTGAGCCGGGTTTAGGGTTTTTTTTTTTTTTTTTTTTAGTTTATTTGTTTGTTTTTGGTCATCACAAACCTTGGACAACTATTTACTCTAAATTACACTTGACCGTGGACCAACGTGAAGGTTATGGGCATCGACCCCCTCCCCCACCCTCCTGTAACTTTTGACTCCC